TTCGACGATGCGTAAAGAGACGGTCCTCGAGGTCTATTCCTCCATCTCCCCCGCGGGAAATAATTCGTCCTCGCTGCGATAGAAAGTTAATTCACGACTCGAGAAATTAGAATGTAAGAGAAACTTCGGAAACGCTGCGCAAAGTTGCCTACGACGTTGGAATTCACAAGGTACCTGATTCAATTAGTAATCGGAGTTCGCAATTTCTATATTTCTGCACAAATTGACTTTGACTGTCGTATATATGTGTTACAGTAAATGTTGCAAGGTGAAGGCGTTCATGCCGCGTCGACAAGATATTGCGAACAGTGCGAATTTCTTTCAAGAAATTACAACGACAAATGTAAAGAGACGAAAATACAGTGAGTAGAGCGATTCAAAATAACGCGATATTTTTCCGATACATTTTTGCAAAGAGCTGCAAAACGGATTCGCGGTATCCGATAGGAAAATGTATCTTCTGAAAATCACAAAACACTATTTCTCCCATAGAATTCGGATACGTCATGACGCTCATTAGAAAGAGAAGAAATATTGCAACTTTTCCGCCGGCTGCTCGCGTTCTTTCCAAATATTCTTTTGAAATACGCAGCGGGGACGGGAAATCGAGTGCTTTCCATTTATTTCCGCGCGGTAGCGAATGCGGCGAAATGCGAATGCGCATATCGCGATGCCGATTGTACGGTCGACGTCGATATGAAATCGCTCCGTCCATTTGAAGTTTATCACGAGCGTTCACGAGGTCGCGGGGCCAACATCGTGCGCAAACTGTGCAAGCTCGACAAGCTCGCATTTTCCACGGCATCTATCTTCGTCACGCGTGTCCGCGGCCCGATTACGGCGGTTTTTCGATTGTAACACGTCGTCGCGAGCGAGCGGCCGCTCGCGGCCCGAGCGTTGCACGCGACGACGTGGCAGGTTCACCTTGAAGAAGAAGGGGGGCCGCCCTCTCCGCAGCCTGCACTCGACGCGACCCTGTCTCCGTTAGTTTCTGTCTGCTTCAAGGTCGTAGGCGCGATCGCATTATTCTCTGTCGTTTTTCGTGCTTCCCGGTCCTCGAGGTGGTTTATGCCGTCGACTAAGCCGCGTTGCGTGCCGTGCACGAGCTTGCAACCCTGAAGCGAACCACCCCCGTCAGCTCGCTACCCCGTTGTCTTTAAACATATGTATCCCCGTGACAACTGAATGCGGAAAATTTCAAGGTCGGAGGCGCAATGAAATCTAAGAGCGTGGCGCAAGGTGCGCCAGAGAAGGCTAATTTACGAACATCGTAACGAACTTTAATAGGTAATTTCCTGAGGTTAAATTAAAAGGAAAGAAAAAAGAAAAGCGGAGAATTTCTGCTTGTGTTGGAATAGTTGGAAGATTTGCGCACCTTCTTGGTGGGCTTGTTTCGATAGCATTTCCGCGAGTGCGATAACGTGTAACGTTATTCGGGCGTATCGACGGCGTGACGGAATTCCACGCAGATTATACCGGGTGTTTTCAACGTCCTTCGTTAACATTCACGACGACGACAGCGCGGTGAGCTTCGAGTAAACTCGATTTATACGTACCGAGTCGTGCTTTGATTATCTGTATTATTCATCAAAGACGCGGGGAGAAGCGAGCCGAGCCGAGCTCGCTTATTGATTCATAGCAAGGCGCGCGGTAAATCCAGTTTCGGTTGTTTATGATATTTCTTCGCCGATAGTTATGTCCTGAGGTACAAATTGCGTGTTTCCGAGTGCGAGGCGACGACGACGACGGCGGCGGCAGCGGCGGCTTGAGGAGAGAGACTCAGGTGTCTTTTATTGAAAATCTCAACGAAAACATATTTTTCCACCCTTTTTACGGCCGCGCGCAATCGCGACACACTGAACTTTCAGAGGGGGCCTAAGTCCAACGGTGCGGAAAACTTCCAGCGTTATCACCAGGAGACAAATGGAGGATGAAATTAAATTCCTGGATCCTGTCGGACCAACACATATCATGAGGTTATGGTATGTTTCCTGTATCGCGTAATTAATGTCTCTGTCGATACCTAGATATCGCTTCGTACTTTTTACGGCCTGAAAATAGACGGTGACAACTGCACTGATTTATTGTAATTTTTCTCGCTTGATTTAACATTTTCCTTCCCCCGAAGTCATTGATATATCTCTTAATTTTTATCGTGTACACGTTTTTTATCGGGGTCACTGTGTGGGAACCGTAGGCGAACAGTGCAGCGCACAGTGAAATATACAAAGCAAAATATATAAGGAGTAAGTGAGAGAAAACCGCGTGTGTTAAAAGAGCAATTTGACGAGACGGCACCGCTGGGAGGTCGGAGAGCCAGCAAAAGATTCTCGATTCGTTCGGAATTGTTGCGGCGGTACAATTGCCATGGCCGAAATTGCTCCTGGGGAGGAATATCGATCGGATCGCGGCCGCTCCCACAGAGCGCGGAAATAAGTCCGGGGTAGAATGCGACGTCATGCTCCGGGAATAAAGAGGGCCCCGCGAACGTAGATCTGTTCTCGGCGTCTGGCGTCGTAACGAGCGCCCCGGCGCTCGTAAATCGGCGGCGACGGGCCGATCGATGGAAATTTCTTTATCCCGAAACGTAACTCGTGCGCGCGTAACGAAGCGTAATCGGCCACGACAAGCGGAAGCTATCGATCGCTCGACGGCCAAGACGATCACTGTTTACGGATTCTCGCGTAGGCCTCGCGTCGCAGGTTTCCGGGACACCCGGTTGTTTACTCGAGCATGTTGCGAGCATGCCCCGCGATCGTATGGATTTCGCAGCGCCTACCAGATACTGCGGCGCCGTGAGATCAGGTGAACCCGAATCGGGAAATGCCAGCCGGTGACGCGATATCAATATCGATCCTTCGGCGCGAGATATTTTTTCGGGGACGAGCACAGGATACGCGTCCCTCTCTCTTCCGAAACGAAGCTCCCATAAAACAAAACGAAATGTCACCCGCATCGCGGGATGCGCGAGATATTAAAGATCTCATGCGAGATAAATGAAAAAAAAAAAAAAAAAACTTTAAGCGTAAGTTGTGTATGGCGCAGCCTCGACTCGAGCGTCCCACGCGTTCGCAGATTTATAGGCGCAGCGAATTTTTCTGAAGGCGCTTCTTCGCGGTATTACCGTCGTATTTCATATGTACGGTAATTCGGTTGGCTGCACAATCGAATTTTGTAAACGCCGACCTGCCTTGATCTATCGCTACTTATTGCACACGCCCTCGAAACTGGTTATATTCATAGGAAAAAGATGTATATCGTCACCGTTCAGTTATCATTTATGAATTTTTGCCACGAGTTGTGCCCCAACAACCCGGTCGAGTTATTTCTAGTGTGCTCCGATAGTATCGAAATAGATTCGCGAAGGATACTCGGGCGGCAAAGAAGTGGCTTATCACGATGTACTAACGTTGTAACGTCAATGACGAATTGCATGCTCGGCGCGAGAAGAGGCTGAGTCGCGCGCGAGACGAATGAAAGTGCAACAAATAAGAAATCGGAGAACACGTTTTCCGCCCTCTGAGTTTATAATATCTATGAATCACATCGAGCGATGTAACCGAGCGGCTCGATGGTTGTTTGTCGATCTTTCCGTCAGTCTGACATTACCCCACTGGACAGGACTGTTTACTCAAGCGCGGGTTTCGACAAAGTCCAGTCGTAATCAAAAGCCTATCACGTCTCGAAGATGTTACTCAGAATTGGAACAATGGACCCTGAAGATCTAGCGCAATGCGCCAGAATTGACTTTCTTTCGGGAAAGACCAAATAAATCGACCCTAAGTCGTTCAAAGATTCGCTCGTTCCCACCATGAGTAGGAGGAGAAAGCACGGGAGGTTTGAGACATCTCTACATGAGGCAATTTGTCGATCGGATCCGTTTAAGAAGACAAACGTGAAAGAACGAAACTCGAAGAAAGCTGAAGGGCCGTACACATTTAATGGGTGCGTCTGACTTGAAAAAAGAAAGTTGGAACACTGCTTGTGCACCGCTTCTACATATTTATACTACTCTTCCTTTTGTTTGTACCTCAAAGGATAAAACATGCCAAAGGATTAAAGTAATTCACGATGCAGTCGTGGAAAAGTTTGAAAACGAAAAGTCAACGAGTTAACTTTGTCACTTTTTACGCACCGTAAAAGAGCCAACTGTATAAGTGAATTGAACTGAGAGAAGCGGTGCAAACAAGTAGAAATGAGATGTATACGTTCTGAACTTTCCTTTCTTCGATTCGAATCATCTGATTCATATTGGTTCTATATCTCTTGTTGCAACATTTAAAGTTTCAAAGTAATTGGCACCGAGAATGTAGGTTAGTTGCCGTTTGCACTGTTAGTGTCTTCCTAGCTACTTTTTGTGGTAATCGATTGAGTAACGAGCTACCCAAAAGGCCATCCGTTGGCCCGCTGATTGCCCGACTCATCGTCGCGGTATCGCCGACGCATCGCGATGCAATGCAATATCATTAGTGAGGTGAGAGAGCTGCGCTTCGTTACTCTGATTACCGGTGCGATGCTACTTAATTAGATCCTGTACTTCCCAACGGTACGTCCCATAACACGCTAAGTTACACTCTTCGTATTAACAGACGGATTATCACTGATCGAAAAATTCCAGACGTAAACGCGCATCTCGACGACCTCCTTTGATTACGGCTCCTCGAGATTCGTCAGGACATCTTATTGCACAAAGGAAGATTCACTGATAATTCCACTGTTAAATCCCCCCGCAAGAGATTTATAAATAATATATAAAAGTTAATTCATATCATACACATATTGCACACGAAATCTTGCTTTATCCGATTGTAAGAAAACGTGCAATTAAATGTCCAGCATTTTATTTCACTGGGAGAGGAAATCCATGTTGTTTTTAATTCATAGCAAAAGACCGAAGGAGAAGATCCAATGTTGTCGTTGAATTAAAACCGAATTAGATTAAAGCGGAAGCCGCCAAGATTCACGCTCGGCGCCCCACGGAATCGACAAAAATGACTCACCAGTTCTCAGAGGCGTCCTCGTCGAGGATGGTCCCGTCAGCAAGTCGATGAGGTAAATTAGCCGCCGTGCGCGGTCGGTTCCTGACCCTCGGTGGACCAACGACACCGGTTCTCGACAGGCCAGCCCGGAAGGACGCCCTTGCCCTGTCGACTGCTCGAGTCAACGTCATTGAGTCTCATTAGTACTGTTAGTAGTTAGTGTTAGCGGTGATGGAAGGCGAGAAGCACAGCGCTTTGCATAACGTCGTCGTCGTCGCCGTTGTCGCAAGAAGCGGCGATTACGACGGCGTCTCGCGGTCGATATACGCGCACGGTCGCGTGTGTGTGTATGTGTGTGTAATTTTTATTATCTACAACCACTCTCCGACGTGCTGCGCTAATGCATACAAAACATGCGGGGGAAACATGCGGGACGACGTGTGGAGCGCTAACGTAATACCTGACACGGCCAGTCTCACGGAGCGACATGTGGCTCAGCCCAATTAAGCAATCCGGTTAAGCTCGCCTTAAGCTGATAAACACTTGCGCGATAACATGGGTATCTACGTTACTTAACATTATTTAGCGCGAAACCTACAATCACGACGAATATATTATTCTTTTTTTTTGTATTTCTCGACGCAACGCACATCAACATCTTTGCTCGCAGGAATCTTTTTTCAAGAAATAATTAAACGCGAGGCGATAGTGCTTGTTCACGTCATGCATTTGGCGTTTAACGCTGACAATAATTAATATTTAATATCTCGATATCTGTCGAAACGTTAAAATGGTTTGAAACGATATGTACGCGCTGTCGGAAGCTAATGATCGGTTTAACCTCGTCAAATCGTATCGTCACGCTCGTCTCGCCGAAGGTGTCACGTCACGTGAGCGCTGGAAAATCCATTTGCAACGCGCGACAAGAATACTTCGCGAAGATAAGTCAGTCAACGTCGGACTTTTAATTTGTCGTGTGACGCGCGGCCGGCGCGTCTGGCACGCAGATGACAGCAGAATGTGCATGTGCAATCCGCGCTTCTGTTCTATGTCGCTTGATTTCGCGCCAACCGTGGCCGTTGAACTTTCCGCTTAAATATTGTATCTGTCTTTGAACGTAGTCGTTCAATGGCGCCAACATCAAAATTTTGGCGCGCGAAAAACGACACGATATAACGCACGCGTGCGAATCGCGTCGGCAACTTTTGCGAAGAAACGCTCGAGACACAAGAGAGACATCGTTCTTACGTGTCGTTCCCTCTCGCGCGAATCTGAAGCTTCTTCGAGGCCAACTCGATATATTCAATTCACCACGTGCACGTGCGATTGAACGTGGCACGCCGTCAAAATTCATCATCGTTCATCAATCGGCATTCGACGTGCCCGACGCGCGTGCGACTGCATCAAAGCGCGCTGCGAAAATGCGATTATCGAAGAGAGAGAGAGAGAGAGAGAGAGAGAGAGAGAGAGAGAGAGAGAGAGAGAGAGAGAG